GGGCTCGCTGCTGCGGCGCTTCCGCGGAGGCGTGTGCGGCCCGGGAACGGCCCGGGGAAGCTGCTGCACGCGGCTACGGGAGGGAGCGCGTCCGCTCCGCTCGGGTCGGTCCGGCCGGGCCATGGAGTCGTTGCCTGAGCCCGCGTCCCGCTGTCTTCTGCTCCTCCCCTCGCTGCTGTTGCTGCTCCTCCCGGCCCCGGGGCTGGGCCCGAGCCAGGCCCGAGCCGAGGAGAACGACTGGGTTCGACTGCCCAGCAAATGCGAAGGTGAGGGGCGGGCCCGGCGCATCTTGCCGGCGGGAAGGGGACGGCGCTGGCACGGGAGGGTCGAGGCGTGGGGTCCTGGGCTCTGGAGCGAGTCTCTTGGTTCATTGAACCTACAGAGCGCTTGGCACTGTGCTGGGCGCTGGGGACCCCGCGGTGGGCGAGGGATCCGATCTCTGTGCACGTGGAGCTAACCCAGGGTCGTAGATGCCTCGATGTCGTGGTAGGGGAAGTGCAGGGCTTTGGGGCCGGTGAGTAGCATCTCATCTCGCCCGGAGGTGGAGGAAGGCTGGTGTAGAGGGGAGACAGGAAAAGCTTCATAGAGGAAGCCTGAAGAGTAATTAGGAGTTAGGCAGGTGAAGAGCAGTGGAAAAGAGGGGCCCACTCAGGAAACTGCAGACGCAGAGGCCTGCAGGCTGAGAAGCAAAGGCGAGTTTGAGGAACCGAAAACGTCCATATGACTCGTCTTGGGGGAAGGAGAACCTGGGACTCTCCCTTGTGCCCTCACCACAACCTAACCTGTGTAGTTGTCTGTTGCCCCACTAACAGCTCCCAAGGACAGGGATTTTGTCTCAAATGTTTATTCACAGAGTATCCGGTGGTGTCCCATAAATGTTCTGGGAATAAATATGATTAGATGGGGGGGTGGGTATGGGTGTGTGTGGAGGAAGGTGTCTGAGGCCTAAAGGATCACTTTGGGGGAAGAGTAGAACCTGGTGGGAACTTGGTGAGGGAGGAAGGCTCTAGGAATATGGAGAAAGGGTGAGTCCCAAAGACGTAGGGGTGGAGGCAAGAAACCTCAGAGAGAGAGAGAGAGAGAGCACACCTGCAATCTCACCACTGATCCAGGACTATGAAGGGCCTACCTCTTTTTCCTCCCTTCTATTTCTCAGTTTTCTCCTCAGACCTTTAACGTCACTCCTTCCTTCCTACCTTCCTAAACCCAGGCCCCCCAGAAAGTCGGTGATAAATCTCTTTTATCTGAGTTTAAAGCCTACATGGGACCAGATGTTTCCTAAACGTTGGGAAGTGGGGGTGGGGTGATTTGGGATACATAATCCTTCCATTTGAGAGATTAAAAATGAGATTCTCCAGAGATAAGCTTACTTCACTGGTAGGGAACCCAGGATGGGTTTTAGCCTATGCCTTCTCCCTTACTCCCTTAAGAAGACAGTCACAGGATTATGTTGCTTTCCTTTCACTAGTCCTAATTGACATCCTTTGGGAGTTTCACTTCCTCTTCTCTTTGTTTCCTATCTTACTCTGATACCAAAGAGCTCCTATTGTTTCTCATTATTTTCACAGTCTAAGAAGCTCATATTTCTTTTCCTTAGGAGACATTCACAGACTCATAGAAGATAGAGTTGGCAAAGATCTTAGAGATCATTGTAGCCTAAACTCATTTTGTAATTGATAAAGATTAATTTAAAAGAGATTTTTAGTCACAGGATGGGTTGTTTTTGTTATTACATCTTTGTTATTAAATGCTGCCTGTGTCTGGCCCATACAGCCTGACTCTTGGCTCAGTAGCTTGAATGGAACAGACCTTGGCATAGAGGAAGGAGAATCTGCCCAGAAAAAGAGTGGGTGGATGTCGGTGAAGGCCTGGGGTCTGTGCCATGAGTCTCCTCCAAGTCTGGTTCTGGGTAGCATTCCCCAGAGGAGGTCTAAGAGGTAATGTCTGGAAGAGTTGGGAAGTGAGATTGTGGTTGATGGGTAGAAAAGAGAAAGAATGTTCCAAACCTCCCGTTTCTCTTCTCCTGGAATACTACTTGTTGAGGGCATGGGAGAAGGAGGCAAAGGAGCCAGAAAAATGATGAGCTTGCACAGAGTACAGGACAGAAGACAGGAGGGAGCCCAGGTGGTCCTGGGTAGAGAGCCAGGGAGGTAAGATATCCTCAATTCATTGTGGACTCTGAGATCACCAACTTATAATTTAGTATCTTTGTGTGCTCCACAATCCATCAGTTAACGTGTATGTTATAAAATTTCACCAAACAAGCCTCCACGGGAGGTATTTATTTTTGTGGTAAATTGGTTTTCTACCAAACCCTGCTGTCAATGTTATAACAGTGCTGACAGCATTTAGCCTGCAGACTGCATTCCATTCAGAGGCATCAGAAGCTGCTAGGCCACAAACACAGTCTCTATCAGCAATATTTATCAAGCATTTAACATTTACAGTCTCAGACTAGGGAAATACAGAAAAAATCCAACATATGACGCACACTTTGAGGACCCTTGTAGTCTAGATGGAGATAACATGAGATGAATGAAGGCACTTAGGGAGAGCTTGGATCTTGCAGAGGCCAAAAATGAAATCAAGAGCAGCAGGTGGGGTTAGTCCAGAACTGACTCCTGAGGGAGGAGACTTAATGTGAGGTTGAGAGAATGGACAGGGAAGCCCACAGAGGGCATTAAGCACTTTCCTAGGGCCTCAGGCACTTCACACCCCTTTTGCAGTGGTAATTATTTGTTTACACCTTTGTCTGCTCCATTGAACTGAGCATCTGGAAGAGAGGAACCTTGTTTTCATCTCTGCATCTCCAGGCAGTACCTGATATAGGATTTGCTTAATAACTGTTTCAGAAAGAGTAAGGGGAAATGAGAAAATAAATGTACACAAACAGTAGGAACAAGGCCTCTGGGGAGGGGATATAGCAAATTAGCTTGGCAGGAATAGAGAGCTGGTGTTGTAACACATATGAAATCAAGTGATAAAACAGCCATAAAAGACATTTTGGGGGCAATTAGGGAAACTTGAATATGGACTATTAGATGATGTTAGAATTATTGTTAATTTTGTGAGTGTTGTAATTGTTTTATAGTTATATAGGAAAAGGTCCTTGTTCTCAAGAGATAGATGGTGGGCCGGCCCGTGGCTGACTCGGGAGAGTGTGGTGCTGATAACACCAAGGCCACAGGTTCGGATCCCCTATAGGGATGGCCGATTGGCTCTGGGTGAGCGTGGTGCTGACAACACCAAGTCAAGGGTTAAGATCCCCTTACCGGTCATCTTTTATTTTTTTATTTTTATTTTTATTTTTTCCTTTTTTTGTCTTTTTTTTTTTACTGACCGGTAACGGGATCGCAACCCTCGGTGTCGCGCCCGTACCGGGGACCGGCAACGGGATCACAACCCTCGGTGTTGCGCCCGTACCGGGG